ATATATACACATACAAACAAACAAATACATAAATAAATGGAGAGAATTGGAACAAAAAAGAAAATTTCACTCGCGTGTTTAAAATATCACTGTGTGGTGGGGTGGCAGTTTGAATACTGCAAATGCATGCGTTCTGCCCTCTCTTGTAACCCGCTAGTTTGTAAATGCGTTCTTCCTGTCCACTGCTGCTCACGCGATCTGCAATGAAGACCGTGGGTCCCCGCCAGCGCCGCGTGCTTCCGCACAAGAAACTGGCACCCCCTGAGGGGAGAGGAAGGCGCAGCCGGGGCTAAGGCCGTGCAAAGGTCCTGGAAGGCGTGTTTACTCCTCGCACTCGGCTGGTCCCGCTTTCTCAGGAGCCCTTTGTCTGCGGGACGTGGGTCTGGCAACCATGATCTTCGCGTGGAACCCACAGCCGAGGACCCCGCCCGGGCTGGGGCGGGGGCGGTGCCGCGCGGAGAGCGCGGTGGAGCGAAACTGAGCGAACAAAGGGAACTCCGGAGCCTCCCAGCGCCCAGCAGCATCGGGAGACCCGGCCTCGTGCCGGGTTGCTCCCCGCCTCCCCTCCCCGGGAAGCGCGCCGTGAATAATTGATGGAGATCGATCCGATAAGAGACAAAGCTTTGCAGCAAACCAATGCATCCGATTCGAGGCCCTTCGGGCATCTGCGGCCGAGCGCGGGGTGAGAGCGGAGCTGGGACGCTGAGCACTGCTGCAGACCTCGCTCTCTCCGGCCTCTCCTCGCTCCCCGCCCTGTACCTCCGTCCCTCGGTGTCGCCTTCTCTCTCCTCTTCCACCTCCCCTCTTCCCGGTGGCTTCTGCCCTGCTGTCCCCTGCGAGCCCGCCCTCTGCCCTGCCCGGCCCGCCCAGGTCGGGGTGCGCGTCTGGCCCCGCTTGGCACCCGGGTTGCGCCCGGCCGAGTCTCCGGCCTCCGCCTTTGTTCCGAGAAGCCGAGCGGGAGTGGAGCTCGGCCCGGAGTCCTGCTCGGGCAGAAAGTCCTGCGCAGAACAGAGGAGCTGAACTTCCCTGGACTCTGAAAGCCACAGCGGAGAACCGCGCTCTCCGGAATATCAGCAGGAAAGCGCTTTTGATTCGCATCAAATTCTTGGAGACACCGCCTCTGCCGAGAAGTGAGCGGGCCTGGATTCTAAAGGGGATGAGAGGCGGGGTGGGTTGGCCGGCAGACACAACTTGAGATTCGCTGCTGATGTGGGCCGTGCCAGGGTGGCTTGGGTGGCTATTTCCAAAGGGGAAGCCGGGAGAGGCGCGGCGCCTTGTCACTTTGCAGGAACCACGTGGCAGCAGCCAGGTGCCTTTGATGGTGAAGCCCAGTACAGAAGAGCCAGCTTTCTTCTGGGTGGGCTGCCCGGGGACCAAGCTGAAGCATTCATTCTCTGATGCTTCTCGCCTCTGGAATGGCGCTGTCCAATTAAAAACAAAACTGAATTTAACTTGGCAACAAAGCGAAGTCGGGTCTGACCCCTGCTGATTGACTAGATTAGACGCTCCAGTCAGCGTTAGGCCTCCAGGAAGTGCAGAAAGAAAGTTGATGGCTGACTCCTCTCCCTTGTGAGGCCTCCTTTGTTTGTCTTTATATTCCAAAGGGAGTTGGGAGAGCCCAGAAAGGAGGTGAATGTATTAGTAGTAGTAGTAGTAGTAGTAGTAGTAATAGTAGTAGGGGTGGTGGTTACTTACCAGTAGTCGATTACTTACAAAATGAGAAGTGACTGCATGCTTAAAATAACTGGAGTAACCAAGGTAAAGCAATCAGCCCTTACATTTCCTGAAAGAGGGAGGGATTTTTTCTTTCAGAACTTTATGCCTAGTCATGCCCCCTTTTTTAGTGCTTTAGAGAGAAATATTCCCGATGAAAAGACCCCCAATTGTCTAGCTGAGTAACTGGATCACAAGGGAGAAAAATCCAGGACAGAGTAGCTTGCTGTTTTCCAGACTGAAGAAGTGAGGGGTGGATTTATCTTGGAAAGCTACACAATAGACACTGTCTTAACCACCAGGACAGAAGATGCAGCAGCCTCCTCACAAAGGGAGGAGTGGGCTTGTGGGAAGCAGGCCAGCCTCCTCTGCATCGCCGAAGAGGCTTGAGGATGAACATATTTTTCTGGCTTGCAATTACATTAAAAGTCAACCGATTCCCAAAGGCTGCACAACAGACTAAGAGTAGAAAAGCCATTCCCTGGAACCTAAGAATCACCCTCAACTTTTCCAAAAGTATTTTTTAAAAGCTAAAAAGAATTTCTCTGAGGTTGTGAATGACCGAATAATGCAGATAATTTCTATTGCCATTATTTTCTTGAAACTGAGGTTGACTTAGTCTTCTATCGTTTATATTTTCTTTCGGGCCTGTTCTAAAGAAAATTGCGTACATGGCTCTGAAAACATTAGAAGTTGGATCAGCTTGAGGGGGGAAATGTCATTTATTCATAGGAGAGCTTCCCTGGGAACCTGCTTTCTCTGACGCGTGAGAATACTAATTACATAAACTTTTCGCACTAAACCAGGCTTTAAATACAGATTTGATGGCAAGGAAAGCAAATTTTGAAAAAGTGGTGGTTTGACGATTAGAATACGAATTGTCTCCCTTCGCTTCCGCAGCAGCTCCTCCACACTTTCCTCTTTTGTTTCGTCTCCCTCCCCAGCATTTCCTCTCTCACCCTGCATCTCGCTCACGCTTTCCCAAACCTGCTATCTCGAGGAGGGAGGATGGGTTGTTTCAGATCGGCCGCTTTGCCGATTTAGAGCGAGATGGAGACAGCGCCACCTCGGGCAAAATGAGCATCGCCTCCTATTCGCCTCGTGTCCTGAAGTCGGGGCGCCGGGCCACGCTCATTGTTCGGGGGACTTCTCCGGCCCAGCGCCGTGGGAATGCGGACACATGGCGCGTCTCTCTTCTTTTGTTCCTGCCCCAGCTTAGGAAGCAAGGTCGGTGGCGGTGAGGAGGGAAGAGGATGATGTAGAGATGGACGATTCCGGAGGTATCCGGTAGGTTCCTCCCGGACACCATGAGTCAGCCACCGACCGGGGGCGCTGGCCCCGCCGCCTCCGCGGCTTCCGA